CACCTTGATGATTTGCATAATGTACATGTCGTTTCAGAGGACCTGTAGTATGTTTCAGCCTCTAAGTACTATCAGTTCTGTCACAAGTTTGACATATTTTTTGGTGAATCTGTTTGTTTCATGATGAGCTGTGACTCTTAGGAGGCAAAAAGGCAGTCAGGAGACTGCCTGGACTTTCCAAGATTTAAAATGTTTCAAGAAGCTTGGAATAATTTTGGGGAAGGAATGAAATAAGGGGCACACAAGTTAGATACTGCCCAACCTGTCTGCCATAGATCTTCTGAATAAGACGAATAGTTATATTGATGTAAATCTACATGAGAAATAAGAACCCCTTTAATTTTTTAATGAAATTTTAATGTGTCACATAGTGTTCATTGAAGATACTAAAACGGATAACATAGATGTTTTGGGAAGCTATAGAAATATGCTCAAAATTACTTCATTTCAAAAAGCTTGAATTTGGTATTGGATATTTATATATACAAAAATTTGGTATTGGATATTTAAAATTACACTTTTTGAAGTACCTCCATAGTTGGTTGCATTTTTCAGAATCTAAAGCTTTAGGTTTTTGCAATAATTTTCACAACAAAGTAGTGCCTGAAAATGTGTGTGACTATTCTTGGAAGTTTTCACCTAAACTTTACTGATTTTTAAGAACAAATATAAATTGATCCATAAACGGTGAAAAAAAAATTGAGCATTAAATTCATCTGATGTAGTGTGCCGTGAACTTGCTTTCTGTAACTGACATACTTTCTTCTTATTAAGGAAGGTAGGATATTTTCTGATAGAAAGATTTCCAAAACCTTTAAGAGTGTAAAATCCTTAAATGAGGTCTGAGGAGCTTACAAGGTTCCTGACTTTGGAAACAATTCAAGTGTTGCCCTATAAAACCTGTATCCTGTACTTTAGTGGCTAAGGCTCAGCTGTGTGAAAGTGTTGCTGAGTCTGATCCTCTGTTATTTATCTCCCCCGCTCTGGTTAACATAATTGAGGCTGATTAAGTTGTCCTTGAGTCCCACCTTGATATATCAGTTTACCCTCAATAGGGAAGTCCTTGCCCCTGAATTGCCTGTGAAAGTACTTCACCCCTTTTTTTTCCGAATCTTTCTGTATCATTGTTTCAGGTGTTATCTAACACCTTTTTCCAGCATGTATAATCAATGCAATCCACCCTTCCTTTTTTTTTTTTTTTTTAAATTACCTTCTCTTTCCAGCTGTTGGATGAAGTCTTAGGGTTTTTGTCTGTTGCTCCAGTTGCCAAGAAATTTGACTGGAAAGTAATGCTCTCATTTCTTAAGTAAAATATATGAACAGCACCTCTGGACAGCTTATTATTTAAAGAGTAAAATTAATTGAAGGATTTTTTAAATTTTTTTTGTAGGGAACTCCAGCTGTAAGAGAAAAAACAGCCTTTGTGCTAATGTACTACAGTTACGTCCTGCTGTATTATACATAGAATATTAGAATATCTCAAGTTGGAAGGGAGCTTAAGGATCATTGGGTCCAACTCCCTGCTCCTTGCAGGATTTCCTAAAACTAAAAGGGACTAAGAGCATTGTCCAAACACTCCTTGAACTCTGACAGCCTTGGTGCTGTGACCAGTGCCCTGGGAAGCCTGTTCCAGTGACTGATCACCCTCTCAGAGAATTGAACTAATGTCCAATCTGAACTTCCCCTAAAGCAGCTTCATTTGTTGACATAGTTGATTAGTGATGCACTGTGTATTATAAACCAGAGGAAAAGGAATAACTAATATTTTAATTTTAGTGTACTCCTGTACTTTCTTTTTTTAAACAAAAACCCCGCAAACGATAACAACAAAAAAACCAACCAACCAAAAAAAACAAAACCCCAAACCCCCACCACAAAAAACCCCAGTACTTCAATTAAAGCGTTAAATTTCTAAAGTTAAACTTCTGCTTGATTTACTACAGCAAATAATATTAAATGCTCAGAATAGTAGATTGCTTTTTCTTAAAATGCTTTAGTCTTTTCCTACAGAAGAGTACTGTTCTAACTGCTAGTATGTAGTATAGTTAAAAATATTAAACCTATTTATGTGTGTGCTTATCCAACACACACAGTGCAGTACACACACATACCATCTATAATGGTAGTAGTAGTAATAATAATAATAAACCAGAACAGAATCTAGGTATCTTTGATACCTAAATAAATCCTGTTATAGTTGTACTGTTTGCTATCTGATCCTGGCATTTTAGCATGTTGGAAAAACATACAAAAGCAATGCTAAGGATAGAGAAGGAAAAAATCTATGTAATCTGTACAAAATGTACAATTAGAGTAATACCCCCTAGGATCTATCTGCTAAACTTACTGCATAGGTTGTATTTTGAGCTA